CCAGTGCCCTGTGGGCGGTGGTTCCTGTTCTTCTCCTGCATCGTCGTCCATACAGTTGATGTCTTCGGAGCCGAAATCAAGCATGTCGGTTAAGTCGTCGACAGTGGCTATTAAGTGGGTGGTGGGTGGGGAATGAATTTCTTCGTCGTCCGCTTCCCACTCAAGCCGGACATAGTTCGGCCAAGGGTCTCCTGACAAGGAGAGAGACCTCAATGAATTTTGCACATCGCCCAAGGGCGAGTGCTGAAAGATATCCGCGGAGGTAAAATCCATGATCGGTGCCCAATCGGATTCGATAGGCACGGACGTAGGCGGTTCAGAGCCTGTGGCCGGGGACGAATCCAAGGGTCTGGCAACACAGGTCTCATAGGAGGTGAAGTCAGTGTTCGGCTCTATCGCCGCTGAGTGTGCGGCCTCCGTGGCGGGGTCCATCCACCCGTCCTCGGACGGCACGATCTGCTCCGGATTGAGGGCCGGAGTAGCCACAGGTGTGATCTCCCAAACACCGTCCGACGGCAGAGCTAAGTCATGCTCGTCGTGACTGTGCGGCACACTTGACATGGGCTCGAATCCGTCGAAGATCAAGTCTCCGCAGATGTCGGCAGTATAGTTCAAGCTTCCAAACCTGACCTGATGGCCAGGTGCGTAGCTCTCGATCTGCTCCAGATGGCCAAGCGAGTTGGCCCGCAGTACGAAGCCGCCGAATACGACGATCAGTCTGGGGAGAAAAACCTCACCCTGGATCGCATCGTTGCCGATGATCGAAGGAGCCATCAAGCCTTTACGTGACGGCACAGTGGAACTCTCAATGAAAGCACCAATGTCGGTGTTAAAACGGGCGGATCTCGGGTAGGGGGTCCCGAACTGTGCGTCTAAGGGTGATGGTAACAGGAGGCGGGGGACACAATGTTTACCCAGGTTCGGGCCCTCTCGATGGAGGTAATACCCTACTTCCTGCTTGATTGATCTTGATGATATGAGTATTACAATAGTTGATCTACCACGAGATCGTAGAGGCTAAACCCTAGAGGCTAGCCTATGATTATGATTGTTGTTCTACGGACTAAACCCTCCGGTTTATATAGACACCGGAGGGGGCTAGGGTTACACAGAGTCTGTTACAGAGAAGGAGATCTACATATCTGAATCGCCAAGCTTGCCTTCCACGCAAAGGAGAGTCCCACCCGGACACGGGACGAAGCCTTCAATCTTGTATCTTCATAGTACAGCAGTCCGGCCAAAGTACATAGTCCGGCTGTCCAAGGACCCCTTAATCCAGGACTCCCTCACTCCTCACAATGAGGTAAATGCCTACGTCATCCTTCTAGTTGTATTGCTTGAGTTTCGATTACAAGGGAGCGAATACACTTGACCTAGCTCTCGATCGATTGTTTCTTGAGTTAACCCGTCATTGGGTCTCGCCTTTATATACATAGGTCGGGATCCGGCGGCTTACAAGAGTACGGTTCATATCACACAACGTAACCGACCATGTCTCTAAATTACCTCGCCTTGTTAGGCAAGCTACCATCATGCGGCTCACACCTTCGGGTCTTGAGACGCCTCCGGGTCGTGGCCTTCAACAGCCCGCTTATAAGCCGCCTTCGGTCTTCTTAGGCCTTACTGCGCCTTCCATTGTAAGTCTCCAATAATATGACCCGGCCCCTCCTGGGCGGGTCATATCACGGGGTTATATCCCCAACAGTGTGGGTTGTGATTGGGCTTTCTATCTATCCGGTCGTTGGGTTGCCTTGGTCGGTCAATAAAGCACATGGGCAACGATCATTGCTTTCTATCATTGGTAAGTATACAAGACAATTACAATGCAATACGAATATAATCACTTGCAGGTGATTCGCTAGAAACATCCTTCAAATGTTTCACTTAACATCTCGGTTGTTTTTTTCCGTCGCAATTACAAGATGAGGAAAGGCCAGAGTATCAAAAAAATCTCATAGTCCATTAGCCTACTCAACCAAACAACTTATGTGTCGCCGAAAAAAGCTATGGGCAATGATCATCGTCAAGGTGAATACACACATAGTATGAACATAATCATATATCGTCAAAGCTATGGGTCATCTAGTTCATCTAATGTCCGGAGACTCTAGAAATGCACACATGGTTTTTTGTGTAAACACACAGGGGTCGGCTATAGTATATGGTAAATGCATGGGGGTGGAATGTATAGTACATCCCCACAAAAAAAGAATGTGTAGTACATATAGGTAGATTTAACTCGATTGATCAAATGTCATAGATAACAACAATGTTGCTAGCTATATATTGTGCACATAGTTGGTGAGACAAATGTGGGTGTGTGTTTGCTTTTGCATCACAAAACAAGGCAACAACAACATAAGCATGCAAATGGGACGAGCAGGTAGGTAGTATGAGGACAACATATGCACACGTTAAGAAGAATAAGAACAAAACTGAATGTGCGACCTGGCATGGCGATGGCTTAGAGAAGTTCGAGAAACTGATCACCTGTCACCACCAGGGCGTGGCCCCCATAGTAGGATAAGGAGAGCCAAGTTGTAAAGACAATGAAGCTATCTTTATCCATCCACTACCGCTAGGAACCAAATTAAACAAAGGTCATAAAGTGTTAAGGCTTCTTTGGCAAGTACCTTGCCGATACACGCATTGTCTTATATTTAAGCGCCCCCTCCTGTATTCCAAGCTCATTGTATTTCGTCAATAGTTGTTTACATCTCTATGGCCGCCTCCCATATTTGTGCCACCCCAGAATCCATTGCCTAAAGAGCCTTCGCCATGGCAGACCACCTTCAAGTTCAACAACAACACCAACACCAACTAGAGCTCCCTTCGGGGTTTAGGTTCCACCCTACCGATGAGGAGATCATCACCTCGTACCTGGTCCCCAAGGTGCTCAACCCAACCTTCACCGCGATAGCGATCGCGGAGGTGGATCTGAATAAGAACGACCCGTATGAGCTCCCCAAGAAGGCAAAGATGGGGGAGAAGGAGTGGTACTTCTACTGTCAGAAGGACCGCAAGTATCCCACGGGGATACAGACCAACCGGGCCACGAAAGCCGGCTACTGGAAGGCCACTGGCAAGGACAAGGAGATCTTCCACCCACTGCCCACTCTCATCGGCATGAAGAAGACGCTCGTGTTCTATAAGGGCAGGGCGCCTAGGGGGGAGAAGACCAACTGGGTCATGCACGAGTACAGGCTTGAGATCAGCAAGCAGCCTGCATATGGCCCATCTACCGCCATCGCCAAAGCTGCCGCCATTAATGCATCTTCCAAGGTATTTAAACCTAGAGTAGTAATGCATATGAATCATGAACACGCCTGCATGTACCTAGCTATTGGCCATAGTTGATTTGCACTGATTTAATTTATGTATGTTGGTAGAAGGAGCGTGTGGTTTGCAAAATCTTCCATAAGAACATTGGAGTCAAGAAGGTGGTGACCCCGTCGTACGCCATGCACATGCCCATGTTCATAGGAGGAGAGCAGCAACAGGGCTCCCTCAACTCATGTACGTTCCCGCCTCCCATGGACTACGGCGCATCGTTGTCGCTGGCGCCTCCGTTGTTTCTATCTGAAGATTCTTCGTACCAATTGCATGCCGCCAGAGTCGGCTTGGCGATGACGGGCAGCTTGGTGCTCCCCATGGTGAACAACCCCCACCACGAGATGATGGGCGGCAACCCAATGGTGTCCTACCAACAACAACAGATGATGCAGATGCAGATGCAAATGGGTGCAGACCAGTGCTTCATGGTTGGGGTTGAGCCTGGGAGCGAGTCGTCGTCCATGGTGTCCAGAGAGGGCGTTGACCGGCTGGGCAACAACGTCCAAGGCAATGGCGCCACAACAACCATTGACAGTTAATATGGGTATGGATGAAATGTGGAAGTACTCATGGTCAGATGATCCAAGACAAGATATATATGTATGTCTGTATGCATGAATCAACCATCCATCAACAGATTGATTGATATATACCAACACCTATCATGGTTTGCACCGCGTTTTACTTTCCAGCATGATCGCAAGAGAGTTTGCATGCATTGCCCGACCTGCCTAGCCTCTCTTGCCTTAATATGTGTCAGATTTAATTTATGCTCCATCTGTATTAAAATAAAGTTATTTAAACTGCAAAACCGTCTTATATTTAGATACAGAGGAAATAAGAAATATAATTTTTAAAGGAGAATAACCCTGGCTTCTGAATCAAATTATGTATACCACCATGAAGAAGACATACTCTCGTATAAACAGGGAAGACTAAAATAGCTAGCTACAAAATCGCACCTGATATTTTTACTGCGAATTCAAATTGTGATCATCTGGGATCTAGCCTTGCTCTCTCAGGCTAGGCAGTGGATCGGCACGCCCAAAAAAAATGGACACCGGTGTGGAAAAGACAAAAGGATAAAAGGGATACCCTCCCAGAGCCCCAGAGCCCCAGTCCATCTCGCCAACGGTGGCAGTGTGGCACCGCCTCCGCTGCTCAGGCTCATCCTGTCCTGTTCCTACTGCAGCTAGCTAGCCTGCTACCTTTGATCTCTTCTCCGCGCCCACCACCCCCATATCACTTTCTTATCGACGACCGCTAGCTCCATCCCGCTCCCAACTCCAGAGAACACCCACGACTAGCATCGCCCAACTTGCTCGTGACCCATTGCTCTCTCTAGCAGCCGCATCTTGCAAGCTTCTACTGCTACGCTCATCATTCGCGACCACGTGAGCTTCCTTTCTCCATGTCCTTCGGCAAGGCGGACATGAGCAAGGAGGGCATGTACCAGGAGCGCAAGGACGCGCCGGCCACACGGTTCGCGACGCCGCCGCCGATGCACCACCGCCATGCCGGCCACGGTGACCAGCAGCAGCAGCAGCTGGAGTGCTTCTCTGATGAGGTGGACAGCCGGGGTACCGCCGAGATGAAGGAGCCCGGGGGCAGTGCGGCCGGCTCCCAGCTCGTTTCAGGCGGCGGCGTTGGCGACGGGTCGAGCATCGAGGTGGCCAAGAAGCGGAGGGGGCGGCCGCCGGGGTCCAAGAACAAGCCGAAGCCGCCCGTGGTGATCACGCGGGAGGCGGAGCCCGCGGCGGCGATGCGGCCGCACGTGATCGAGATCCCCGGGGGCCGCGACGTCGCCGAGGCGCTGGCGCGCTTCGCGAGCCGCCGCAACCTCGGGATCTGCGTGCTCGCGGGCACCGGCGCCGTCGGCAACGTCTCGCTCCGCCACCCCTGCCCCACGGCGCCCGGTGCTGCCCCGGCCGTCGTCGTCTTCCAGGGCCGGTTCGAGATCCTCTCCATCTCCGCCACCTTCCTGCCCCCGGCCATGGCCGCCGTGGCGCCCCAGGCCGCGGCCGTCGCTGCCGGGCTCTCCATCTCGCTCGCCGGCCCGCACGGCCAGATCGTCGGCGGCGCAGTCGTGGGCCCGCTCTACGCCGCGACAACAATCGTCGTCGTCGCCGCCGCCTTCACGAACCCCACCTTCCACCGCCTCCCCGCCGACGACGACGCGCCGATGCCCGTCTCCGTGTCGCTCTGCGGCAGCGCGGACGCGGATGAACACCGCGCCCGTCAGCACCAGCCGGAGCCGCAAGAGCAGCGTCACCAACGGCGGCAGGCGCCGCACTTGACCCCGTCGGCAGCACAGCCCGTGGAACCTTGTGGCGTGCCCGTCTACGCCTGCCAGCCGCAGCCGCAAGAAGTGATGTGGCCGCTTGCTGCTCGCGCGCCGCACCAACCGCCACCGCCGCCGCCGCCGCCGTACTGATCAGAGAGAATGTGTACGCCCTTTTACCAGATTGCCTGCATCCTGCAAGGTTCATGGCTAGATCTGCATTAACCTTGGCTGCACCTTAGGGTTTAACCCTCTGTTTTCTTGGGCTTCTACTTCTGATTTCGACATTGATCCGCATTTCGTACGGGGAACTGAGAATTGAATGTCAACCTTCGTTTTCTTGCAAGCTGCATGCACGTCGCAATAAGCTATAGCCCATTATTATCTGTCTTTGGCAATCTCAACCTAACCAAATATAGTTCATATGCCAGTATTTAGTTGTACTACGTTTGTTTTGTTTTGTTTTGCACAAGCGCCAAGATTAGTTCTACTGGCTAGCTAGCCCCCAACCAACTGCAAGTTGTACATGTACTTGCACTTGTACCATCTGTGCTGATAATTGAGAGCCTAAATACTACTCCGTACCGTATAATGGGGGAGCTTGCACTGCACCTCCCCATTATGTTTTTTTTCTTGCGAAAAAGCATAATGGGGGAGGTTCAGTGCACTGCAGGCGTGCCCATTCCCTTCCGTCGAGCCATTGATTTGTGGTTGTCTACCGTATGGGCATTTCAGCCAAAGGGCATAATTGGATTGTCGTTTCCACTCAAATACCCTTGTAGAAAATATACGGACCTCCGTCGGCCGTTTCATTTCCAGCCGAAACTCCTTCGCAGCTTGGTAAATTACACATGTAAATTAAATACCGGTGTATTTAAATACCAAAAATGCTAGGCCTACGTAAGGTTGCTATGTAACCTACCTAAATTTTCTTTTCCACCAACTAAAGCCCAATTAAAGACTGCCAAATCATCCTACACGAAGGTACGTAGGAACCTTTTCGTAGATGTAGCATTGCTCAATAAATACAGCCAATCCAAGCGCGCCCTAAGCCGTGTTTCCTACTTTCGCTCTACTCTAGTCCAGTATATATGCACTTCAGCACTTGCAAAAAAAGAAGATGCTAGCCAACAGAGGGTCCCAGAGGAATTCTAGATAGTTCTAGTTCTTAGGGTTTTTTTCCTGCGTCGGTTGTTTGATTCATGGACACGTCTAGTGGGCGGCCGGCTGCCCACTAGTGCGATCGAGCGGCCGGCCCAAAACGGTAAGCCCTGTCCCCCCGCGGTACAGAAAAGGAAGGGGACAGGCTGCCACCAAACCCGATTGAGCGGCCAGTCCCAATAGGTCCCGTATCCCATGCTCCCACGCCTCCCACGCCCGCTCGTCCTCACGCCCCAGCGTATGTACGCAGCGTCCCCACGCCCCCCGTACCTACCCCAACGCCTCCCACGCCCCATGTTGCCTTCTTCTTCTTTCTTGACCTGCACGAAAGAAAGGGATCCAAAACTCCTTCTTCCTCCTCCTGTATAGCCGCCATGGGAGCAGAAAGATAGATGAATCTGCTTCAACAAATTGATCTAAAAGGCAGGGTGATCAGACCCATACCAAGCAACAAACATCAGGCAAGTACTTCCTCTCTACCCCTCTTCAGTTCTTCCCTTTCTTGTACTGCATCTATAAAAACACCCTCCCCCATGGATCCATCAGCAAAATCCATGGAGAATCTGCTTCAAAAAAAGAGTAGATCTGAAACATCACCCTATTGTGAATGCATTAACTGTCCAACTGAACATGCATGTTGGCCATAAAAACTGAAAAAATGCAACCTGGCCAGCTGAGACATCTATTCTAGCCATACCAGGCAGTAATATCGAGCAGGTAAGCCCCCTCTGCACCTCTTCACTTCCCCCTTCTCCATGGATCCATGGAGAATCTGCTTCAAAAAAGAGATGAATCTGGCACATCACACCAGATGTTAAACATGCTGGATGTGTTAAACATGCCAAAAACTACCATCTGGATGTGTTAAAACAAGCCAACTAAAAACGAGTTATCTGGCCAATTAAAACATGATTAAAAGCCAACTTCTAGTTATTATTTGCAAAATGAACAAAAAATTGACTGCCCAATGCTTTTGTTGAACATGTGCAACGAAAAATTCATAAATGTGCAACTAAACATGCATCCCAGCCAACTGAACATGTATCCTGGCCAACTAAACATGTATCCTGCCAACTAAACATATATCTAGCAATACATGTTTCTGAGTGAACACTTTGGAAAAAATGTAGTATATGTGAAAATAAAAAACATGTTTTCTGGCCAACTAAACATGCATGTTGGCCAAAAACTGATGACCAACTAAGACATCTATTCTAGGCAACTAAGACATCTATTCTAGTCAACTGAATGCATTAACTGTCCAACTGAACATGCATGTTGGCCACAAAAACTGAAAAAATGCAACCTGGCCAGCTGAGACATCTATTCTAGCCAACTAAAAGCATTGAATGTCCAACTGAATATGTATGCTGGCCAAGTGGAAATCCTGGAAATTGAGACGTCTATTCTAGCGAAAACCAGAAATCTGTAGTGCAACAGGAAAAACATAGGAACTTTTGTCCATGGCTAATGAAGCCACAAACCATATTAACATATTCACACACAAATCTTGTCCCACACATATATTCTGGTCCCACACCTATTGCAAACCATATTAATATGTTCAAATATACCAGATCTAGAAACATAAACGGCGATGAAAAACATATAACTATAATCTGTCCTCCAATTCTTCTTTCTTCTTTCTTCTTTCACCTGGATTTTCCTTCTCAAATGTAGCATCCAATTATGTGCAGAAAAATCTGAAAGAGCTCCTTGCGAAACGAAAACCTACAGATCATTGCAACAAAACAAAAAGGGAAAAGGTAAGAAAAACTCTGTAGCAAAAAGAAGTCATACAATCCCCCGTGATTGTATGACCACCCCCGTGCCGTGAACTACGCCTCCAACGATTCCCCCGCGAGGAGAACCACCCGCAAGCCGTCGCCAACCTGAGCACTCCGCCCCGACGCCCCGTTCGGTGGAGAGGATGGCGAGGAGGAAGACGAAGACAGAATGGGGAGAGAACTCGCTGTGGCGAGGGATTTCAGGCCACCTTGTAGATCCCGACCACCGTTGGGCGCGTGCTGCGAGATGGGAGAACGGAACTCAACGTGACCAAAATCGAAGATAAGCGGGGGTAGTTCGCGCCGTTCCCGAACCCTAGAGAGCATTCCCCTCGCATTTCGGCACCATCTGCGCCCCGCGAGATAGAGAAAGGGAGGAGAAGCACGTAGAAGTGGAGGGAGAGCATACCTCCGGCGGCGAGGAGCACCAGCGATTCCCCGGCGAGGAGAACCACCCGCAAGCCGCCGTCAAATCTGAGCACTCCGCCCGCCACGCCCCATTCGGTGGAGAGGATGGCGAGGAGGAAGACGATGAAGGAAGGACGGGAGAGAGAGCACACTGCGGCGAGGGATTTCAGGCGCATATTTCGAAAACCGCCGCCCACGACCCCCACTACTCTCTCCTCTACCACTTACAGGTGGGCCTCCCACGTCCGGATGCAGACAAAACCGCCCACGACCGCGGTGCGCGACCAATCTAGACCAGGTGGCACCTGGCGGATCTGGGAGCGATCGCTCGCGCGATTGAACGGCCACGGGCCGGCCGCCCGTTTCGGTCAGTTAGTGGCCGGTCGCTTTTTAGACTTTAGGTTGATTCATAGGATTACTCCATTTTTACTTTTATTACTATTTATTTTTAATAGTTTTCATGGGATTTTTTTATCCACTCCAGCCTCATGCGAAGAATCCTACATTTTTCCTCCATACAAATCGAACAACCCACTAATCATGTAGTATTGAAGTGGACCTACCACTATATTTGTCATGTTCCCGCGTTTTACAAATCATGCAAACCAAAGAGGCCCTTGTTATTGACAATCATTGATCGTTATTTTACCATACTTTTGTAGTTGCAAAAATCTGATGTTTGAAATAAGGAGTCTTAAACGAGGTTTGTTCGCGTAAACAAGTTCTCTCCTCTCTGAACCCTAGCACCGCCACCCCTTTGTTGAAAAGTCCCCCACCCCATACCCCCAATCTCCATCAATGTTGGAGTGTGGGGAGGCCTCGATCCACTTGATTGAGTGTTAGTTTTTCCCGCTTGGGGGATTTTAGCATACACTTCTTTTTTGAAGGTTGTGATCTTGGATATGTGTATCTTGCAGTGAAGACAACTTCGAGGTGTTATTTCCATGACGTTGATCTGGTAGGATTCTGGACTGGATGACCTAATGTCTGTGATCAACAATGACTAACACTGACTCAAGCAATGGAGAGATAATAAAGGTGGTGCGCCATCGGCTTGTTTGAGAGAAAAAACAAGATCGGTCTAGATATCTCGATATAATTTCTTTACTCCTTACTTTTAGGAGTGTTTGTACCATAGATTGGTCGATAGATCCGAGAACCCTTTGCGAAACCATAATATGTTTTTTTATGTAGACTTAGACTTAGAAATAGCAAAACGATACATATTTTCTTTCCCTATAAGCAAAGTTCTCCTCCCCTCCAAGCTCCACCGCACAGCCATGGATTCTCCTCCCCTTCACCTACCGCTTAATGACACGACTTTTCCTTTCCCTGTAGGACAAAGTTCTCCTCCACTCCAATCTCCACCGGCCAGCCCTTGGATTATCCTCCCCTCTGCCTGCCACTTCGTCGACTGGTGGAGGAGGGTAGAATCTCGGTGCCTCGTCCCTGGCTAGTAGCTTATGCTAGGATGTTTTTCAGCAAGGGCGGCGCTCAGACGGATGGCGACACCTCATCTTCGAGTTGGTCTTTCGGGTTTCAATCCTCCTCTAATTTGTTCGTTGGGCGGAATCGACGAAGCTCCCACGTATATTCTTGCCATCTGAAAGGTTAGGGTCTATCGTTGTTTGTGCGCGGTGATAAGATATGATGTCAGACACTTCAGATCGACTGAAGGGTTCAACAGTGACAACTACGGCTTCAGGATGTTTGTCGTTAGGGGCACGTACACGAAGACTTTCTAGCCATCATCAACAAGGTATGGCTCGTTCTGACGCGGCAATTGTAGTTGGTGAT